GTCTGCGTATTCCCCCTCACCTCATGGTCTCCCAAAGACTTTATATGCTTTAGATAAGCGTATGGAGCAGAGGTCCATCAGTGGCTATTAGCCACAAGGTATAGATAGGGACTCCGGGGCAAGTGATGCTCTGTCTTCTTGTGATTCTGTCTTCTTGGTGCTTGGGGGGGGGGTCAACAGTGGGAGGGCTTCTAATGTCCTGGCCCCACTGGTGGACCTCCTGATGGCACCTGGTATTTCTGGCCACTGTGTGATACAGAGTGTTGGACTGGATGGGCCTTTGGCCTGATCCAACATTGGCGTCTCTTATGTTCTTATGACTACTGATTAATGTTCATCAGTAATGGGCAGAAATAATTCTCTGCACCTTAACAGATGCAATGGTCTTTCCCAGAAGCTTTGGGCCTCTTCCTATAGTCCCATCAGGTGGATTTTGGAGCCTAGGCAGGACACCTTCAGAATTGATGGATATGCCAGACTCTTGATTACTTGGCTCATGATTAAACCGCATCACCCGGAAAGCCTTCCTTGGTGGGCACCACAGGTCTCACGAGAAGACACTCTTGGCTGGAATTGGAAGTCCTGTGGTCCTCCAGGATGGTCAGTTGTGGCAGCTTTCCTAGTTGGCCGTCTGATAGCGCATTGGATTCCCATCCAGACTGCCTTCCCCACGAACTCGTTTCCCCCCTTCCTTTCGCTAGCAGTCCATCCTCCCTACCTGGAAACAAGCGGCATAAGAACTTCAGTGTCTGCAGCTCTGTCGGGTGTTCTGTGGATGGGACCAAGCCCATTAGGAAGAAGAAGAGGAGGAGGAGGAGATTGGATTTTATACCTCACCCTTCACTCAGAGTCTCAGAGCGGCTTACAATCTCCTTCCCTCCTTCTTCCTGCAACAGACACCCTGTGAGGTAAGTGGGGCTGAGAGAGCTCTGACTAAGAACTGCTCTTGAGAAAACAGCTCTGAGAGAACTTGTGACTGACCCAAGGTTATCCAGCTGGCTTCATATTGGAGGAGTGGGGAATCAAACCCGGTTCTCCCGAGATTAGAGTCCATGCTCTTCACCACTACACCAAACTGGTAGCAGGAGTCTACGTTCAAGAAGGCCCTTTGCTGGCACACTGGCTTCAGGAAAACATGGTCCTTGGCTAGTCCCATGGTGGTGTTTTGGTACCTGAGGGGTCTTGTGCATTCCTTGTTTTCCATGACCACCCTGGAGATTTGGAAAGTGACCACTTGGGTTTCGTTTTAGGCTATGCGCGGGAGGGGGGGGCAGCCTTCGGCTGACGGGTTTCCCACGTGAGTTTGCAACCATCTGCAGTGGCCTGATGAGGGTTCTTGGCTACGGAAGGGGTCGCCCATCCCTTGCTAACATTCCAGTGTTCCCGGCCCCGCTCCCCTTGAGGGGAGAAGGAAATTCTGAGCTTCCCTGTGAATTTCTGTTCTCCTCGGGGAAAGGGGGGATGCGAAGCACAGCTTGTGTTGCCGCTGATCCATCGTGCAGATTTTTGGGCAGGAGTGTTGCCTGTAGGGCGAGTCGGTGCCCCTCAGTCACTTTCTCTCCTGTCTTCTTTGCCACACCTGCAGTTGATCTCCAACTGGTCTCGGCCATTGGTTTCACATACTTTGGATCCCCCCCCCCCTTTTTACTTGGGTCATGAGCATGTCCTTAGCTTCAGTGTCCCCCCAGCCTTTCCACAGTTCCAAATGTGGGGCCTGCCTTCCCAGTCCCGGAATGGGAGGGACTTCTCTTCCTCCGCCCCCCCCCCCCCCCCCCAAGAGAACAGAAAACCTGCAGGTAAGCCCTGAGTTTCCTTTTCTCTTCCAGTGCTGAAGCAGCTGGAGGAGTTGCTGAGCGACATGAAGGCCGACGTGACGCGGCTGCCCGCCACGATTGCCCGCATCCCCCCCGTGGCTGTGCGCCTCCAGATGTCGGAGCGCAACATCCTCAGCCGCTTGGCAAACCGTAGCAGCGAGCCTCCTCCTCCGCCGCCTCCCCAGCAGGTAAGCCGCTAGTCAGCCCAGCCCGTCCTGACTTCTCTCCCCTCCCCAACCCCACGCACCAACCGGAGGGAAGGGGGCCCACGGCAACAACTATCCCTGCTCGTGAGGACTCTGCGGAGGCCTGCGTTCAGTGTCTGTGTTAACATCCGTTTTCTCTCCTCCTCCTTCCCCCCGTCACCCCCTTCTCTGTGATCAGGTGGCTCAGCAACAATGAGATATGTGCACCGTGCTGCCGCCGACCCCGTGATTCAGCTCAAGTGACAGACACCACGCGCCCTTGTTCTGAATTCTGCCCCCTCCTCTCCCTTCCCCTCCCGCCTGGCAGTCCCGACCAGACGATGTCCCTCTCTGTGAGGGGGGGGCATGGTTGGCAAAAGGAGGACACACGCTTCTCCCCCCTTGCCCTAAGCTGCCAGGCGCACTTGGATGGCATCGGGGCGAGGGTGTGGAGGGGAAGCACCGGACGGACTCTGTACATAGTGACTGGAGGCTGCCAGCGCCCACGCGGAGACCTGGCTGCAACGCTCACCACCTTGGCCCCACTCGTCCTAGATTTTAATTTTATTTTGAGTTTGTTTACCAAGATGAGCGCAAGCAAACGTCAGGACAGACACAGCTACCTCCATCAAGATCCTTTTAATAAAAAAACAAAAACAAAAACAAAAAAACCTGACTGGACTTGTCCTCCGAAACAGCTGGAAAAAAAAAGACAAAAAAATCTTGATAAAGTTGAAAATAAAAGTTTCCTTGTATTTTATTCGGCTCTGTCAAAGTATTTGGGGGTGGAGGTTTCTTTCGCGGCACTTCTCGGCCTGCCTACAAAGCAAGCCTGTGGACTTGTGAGTAGATCCCCACCTGATCTGCGCGGGATTTTTTTTTTAAACAAATATGCTGTTTACAAAGTGTATCTCAGTACTCCAAAGCGTGTATTGGATTTCTGTGTAAAGCTGCTCGGTACATTGCATCGTTTAGCCTAGGCTGTATAGCTCCCATTTAGCAATGTGAGGAGCATTGGTTCTGAATCCCATGCATTAACTTCATTTACACAGAGTAAGAAGGAAACTTCATTTAGAAATTTAAAAAAACGGCTCCCTTTCGCCCCTTTCTGATCTGGTCCTTGCCAGACTCCCAAATGGGCAAAACGGATCTAGACATTCACCCGCTTGGATTGATTCAGAACCTTCTTGTCATGGTGCGGTCCCCACCAGTGTTCCCTCTAAACTGAGCGTGAGCTAGCTCGCAGTTTTTTTAGCCGCTCCAGCTCACACATTTTTGTCTCAGCTCAGGCAGGATGGCTCCAGAGCAAACTAACTTACTCAGCAGCCAAATCGCTCGCTTACCACTTTAATGCCAGTAGCTCACAAAGTAGAATTTTTGCTCACAAAACTCCACAGCTTAGAGGGAGCATTGGTCCTGAAGTATCAAAGCTTTTTTGACTTTTATTCCAGCCTTTTTGTAGCAGAAGGAATTTTTAAGCTGGCAGTTTACTTGTCCGTGCTGAATATTCAGCTTTGTTTTTATTCTATTCTTCCTCGTCTAGTCTGTACCCGCCTTGCCAAAGAAGCAAATTAAGTTTCTGACCAGCAAAAGTTCTGCTGTAGAAATGATATTTTAAAGCTGTGGGCAGGTGTTCCTACTTGCGAGGTACCTCTCATCAGTTGTTGGGTGGAAGCTGATGGAAGAAAAACACCTTGGCTAGCAGAGAAAAGAAGTGCTTGTGTTTCATGCTGTGAGGCTGTTCAGAGCCAAAGCCTCATGAAGGAAAGCTGAAGGTGCCACTGGACTCCTATTTAGGCCTAACAACCTAGGTCTTTAAAGTGTCCTTAAATTCTGGTTTGTATGTTTGCTGTAACAGACTAATGCAGCTACCCGGGTACAGTTGTTTCTGTGAAGAAATTGGCTTATGATCCCAGGACTTCTGGGAACACAGATAACATATGATCAGCTTTCAGAGGGTTGGTGTAAAATAACAAATGTATACTGATGAGATTAAGGGATGATACATATTGTTCTACCTGGATGGGAGCTGCTGAAAAGTAGTCCCTGGCCTTTGTCAAAGATGTAATTCTGCAAAGGAAAACATGCAGCCGCTGGCATGCCTTGTTGCATCTTCTGAAAAAAAAATGACAGCAAGTAGTTCCGAATGCCCAGATGCATGCCCTCTTGCCTGCTTGCTGTCCACATTCCTAAATTTTCTTTGCTTCCTTACATGTATAAAAAGACTCTTTAGCTTTAATGAAAGCTGGACTAATGGGGCAAGCGAATGCAGAGCTCCAGAAGTCTTAACCTGAAATCAGTGGGCTAAAACTGGAGAAACTGTCAGCTTTTACTATAAATTTATACTTTTTTTAAAAAAAAGTAAACTAGGTGCCAACCTGGCCAGTAAGACTCTCAGCGCAGTACAATGACAGCACCTACCTGCAGCTTTTCTTGTAGAAGTGTTCCCAATTCTGTGATGAGCAGAAACAAGGTGTGGTAGCAGGGCTTTGTTAAAAACGGAATTTAACACTGCACGGGAGTTATGGGGAGGGGCTGCGGCTCAGTGGAAGAGCCCCTGCTTTGAATGCAGAAAGTCCCAGGTTCAATCCAGGGTCTCTCCAACTGAAAAGGACCAGGCGGAAGGTGATGGGAAAGATCCCTGCCCGTCATGCCCGAGATCCTGAAGAGCCGCTGCTAGTCTGAGTAGACAATACGGACCTTGATGGACTAGTGGTCTGATTGCAGCATCATGTAATAAATGATTTGTGTGCATTGCACGTGCGGCTGTAACAACTTTGCGTCTTCCTGGTTGTCTACATCCGTGCCCTTTCCGCCGTGATGCCTTCCCATGCCTTGTCATTCAAGGGTCCCTGTGTTCCAAGACGATTTCCTTCATCTTTGAATCAGGTGAGTTGGTGCCAGAGAGCAGCAGCACGAGTTGGGGGAAGCGTGATGCTTGATGATCATCTGGGCCTATAAAGGAACCCCCCTCACCCTTTACGTTTTGCATTGTATTAGTGACGTTATTTACAGTTTGCCTTTCTCACGGGGAGTCATAGCGGATTACCCACAGTGATTCAGCGCAATCAATAAAACGGGAGATTCAGTGACCAAATGCATTCGGATTTTAGAAGTACTGGAGTGGAGGCTGCCTGGTAAACACTGACTGATAAATTACAGGGATGCTGGGCTTGCATAAAAGTTCTTTCAGAACTGCAGACTGTATATTTTGCCTGGATGAGACCCATTTCGGATTCGGGCCGAATGCTGTGAAAGGAACTAGTGAGCTGCACCGGGAAGGTCACCTGAGAACGGGCAAAAGGCAGCAGCCGGTTCTGATCGGTTTGTTTTCTGCCGGCTTACAATTTCCTGGGGCACCTCCCCTTCCGCCCCGATTTGTCTATTAATAGTGATTTTTAAAATGCAGGCCGCCCCAGCCAGCCACGCCCAGGCACTAAAAACGGACAGCCGTTCTAGCGCGGAGAGGAGGGGGGGCAGCGCTTTCTATACAGGATTGGTCGCAACGGCCGGAAAAGGTTAAACAAATCAGGGGCGGGGACTTTGCGGCCAATCACAGGGTGGGGAAGAGGGCGGGCGGAGGACGGCATCCTGCCAATCAGGCCTGCCGGGAAGCGGAAGGAACGCAGCAGCTTGGAGTCGTCCACGTGCAAAGGCATCGGCCCCGTGGCTTGGCGTGAGAACCGCGATCATGGGGCGCAAGTTGGACCCGACTCAGAAGGTGAAGCGGGGCCCGGGGCGCAAGGCTCGTAAGCAGCGCGGGGCCGAACAGGAGCTGCTTCGTTTCCTGCCGCCTGGTGAGTTCCGGTTGATTCCTGGTCCAGCCCGCGCAGGGGAAGAAGATAGCGCCAGGGGAGGGGGGAGCGGAGCTGGCTCAGGTTTCCCAAGAGTTGCTAACTCTGGGCTGAGAAATACCTGGAGATTTTGGAGCCTGGGGATCGGGAAGAACTTCAGTAGGCTGTAAGGCCATAGAGAGCAACCTCCAGGAGAACTGATCTCTGTCGCCTGGAGATCACTTGCAATCCCAGGAGATCTCCTGGACTCACCTGGAGATTGGCAGCCCAACGCTTCCCTGTGGCGGCGCTTGCCTACCCCCCTTCAGTATATAAGCGAGAACTTCGAAATAGAACGTTTTCGTATCTCCAGTCGAATCCCCGCGGCCCGTCCGAAGTGTTTATGTCAGGAGCGCGTCCGACTCAAGACCGGTGACGAGGTGACGCATAAGCCTTCTCTGCTAAGCGACCCTGCCTTCTGCCTTGAAGGGAACAGAGAGCGCCTTACAGGATCAGGCCCACCCCAGAAACCAGCTGGTACTAGAAGGTCCACTGGCAACTGTCTGCTTTTTGCACACCCCTGGCGTAATGGCGAGATCCAGTACTTACTTGAGTGCAAGTTCTGTTAGATGTAGATATCCTGTTTTCTCCCCAACTAAAGCAGCTTCACAAAGGTTCGGATAGATTTGGCCACATAAACGGGAACAAAAAGAAAACCCAAGTCTAACTTCAGTGCTGGGCCGGGATCTAGAATTGCCAACCTCCACATGGGTTTGTTTATTTAAAATATAAAGGGATCATGGTAATTACCAAAATACTGTGAAGAAACTCTCAGGAAATGTCTGTCATAAGCCATGAATTTAATACATTTAACAACAAATGATGTACACAAAACACATCAAAGTGTCCTAAACTCTCTATATAATCCATCTCAAAACTCATATCAAAGTGAGTGAATATATATATTAAAGATGCTTGACAATTCAAAGTTGCACTGAGTCCATCTCAAAATAATATAACAAAGTGTTCTTAGAAACCCTCTGTCATGAATATTAAACTTTGTGACATGCCAGACATCTTCAGGTTATCTCCATGTCGTTTAGCTCTTCACTTAACGAGGAGCGTGTTTTGTACTTTGTTGCTAAATGTATTAAAATCATGGCTTAACCAATGTTCCCTCTAAGCTGTGGAGTCTTGTGAGCAAAAATCCTACTTTGTGAGCTACTGGCATTAAGGTTGTGAGCGAGAGATTTAGCTACTGCATAAATTAGTTTGCTCTGAAGCCATCCTTCCTGAGCTAGGACAAAAATGTGTGAGCCGGAGGCTAACAAACTGTGAGCTAGCTCACACTAACTCAGCTTAGAGGGAACATATAACACAGACATGTTCTGAGAATTTTTTCCATGGTAGTTTGGTTCACGCTGTACAACCTCCAGGCGGTGGCTGGAGATCTCCTGGAATTACAAATGATCTCCAGGCAACAGAGATCAGTTGCCTTGGAGAAAATGGCTGCTTTGGAGAGTAGCCTCTACATGGCATTATATACCCCACTGAGGTCCCGCCCCTCCCTCCCTAGTCTCCACCCCCCAAAATCTCCAGGTGCTGGTCCCAACCCAGTGTTGGCATTCCTACCTGAATCCCATTGTGGTTGAATCCACAAGACGAACGGGGAAGGGAAGTGTAAATCTACAAATGAAAAGGTGGAAACTCTCCCCAAAAGTTTTAAAGACAAGTAATGACACTAATCTCTGTCATGCATCCTCTAGGTGGCCTTCTGGCCTGTAGTAGGAGGCCAACAATCCTGACCTACCTGGCAGGGTTGTTTCTCGGTGGATTTTGCTGCTGTTGTGATGCATGTGGAACATTTCTAATTTCTCGGTGGGCGCGGTACCAGAGCTTTACTGCAGTATTTCTAAAGCTTAAAGTGGGAGCTACCTCTAAACCAACTGTAATTTCTCCCTTCCCAATATAAAAGGCAAGATTCTTACATTGTTGGGCGACGCACTAGCTTATATTCTGGGTTTCTCCCCATGCTTAATGTTTATAAGGGTCCTGCATTACTAAGCCACAGGCTGCATTTTGTGGCTGTTTTGCGGGCAGTGCAGAGACAAACCCAGATTTGATATTGAGCCTCCTCTCTCGGCTCACCCGGTTCCTCCTCTGACCTCGGGACCCACTTTTGGGTTCTGACCCACAGTCTGAGAACGGCCCCCGTCTTGCGAGGTCTCTGCTGAGGATTCCATTTGTCTCTATACGGCTTTTCAGAAAGCTGCTCATCCACTGTGGTTCCGTATAGAAGCTGAGAGTTCATAAATGCGTAGCTTTTAAAAGTAGGATTTATGATCTTGTCCATCCTGAAAGAGGGCATAACAGGAGTCCTGCTGGGTCATAACAGTGGCCCATCTAGTCGAGGCTCTTGTTGGTCACAGTGGCCAACCAATTGTTTTAGAGGGCCGAGGACTAGGGTATAAGAGGCTAAGTCCCTTCCCTAATGTTGCTTCCTAGCACCGGGATTCAGAGGTATGCTGCCTCTGAATATGGAGGCTCCTTTTAGTCACCATGGCTTTGATGGACCTCTCCTCCATGAACTGGTCTAACCCCCTTTTAAAGCCATCTGTGCCCATGTCCATCTCTACATCCACTGGCAGTGAATTCCACGGTTGGGTTACTTGTTGAGTAAAGAAGTATTTCCTTCTGCCTGTCCTGAACCTGTTTCCTAACAATTTCATTAGGTGTCCTTGAGTTCTAGCGTTATGGGAGAGGGAGAAAATGCCATCTGTCCACACGCAGGCATAATTTTATAAACCTCTATCATGTCCCCCTTTAGTTATCTTTTTCCCCAAACTGAAATGCCCAGCCTCCTTGTATACAAGGTGCTCCATAAGAACATAAGAGAAGCCATGCCGGATCAGGCCAAGGGCCCATCCAGTCCAACAGTCTGTGTCGCACAGTGGCCAAAAACCCAGGTGCTATCTGGAGGTCCACCAGCGGGGCCAACCTTGGAATCATCTTGATAGTCTTCTCCGTCTTTCCCAGATCTGCAATATCCTTCTTGAGATAGGGTGACCAGAATTGCACAGAGTAGTCCAAATGGGGCCAAACCACAGCTTGATAAAAGGGAGGTGCCATCTGGAGGTCCACCAGCGGGGCTAACCTTGGAATCATCTCGATAGTCTTCTTCTCCATCTTTCCCAGCTCTGCAATATTCTTCTTGAGATATGGTGTCCAGAATTGCACAGAGTAATCCAAATGGGGCCGCACCACAGCTTGATAAAAGGATATCACAGTATCGGCTGTTCTGTTTTCAGTACCTTCCCTGATCGTTCCCACCACAGAATTTGCCTTCTTCACCGCTGCCACAGGCTGATTCGATGTTTTCATCGAATTGTCCACTATCACCCCAAGACCACAACTCCAGTACCACAGCCTTTCAGCCACGCTATGAGTGTGTCGCACAGTTTCAATGAATTCTCAGGAGGCGGAATGCTCAGTCGATGAGGCTGGCTCACGCACAGTGAGTGGAACCCATAGTCACATTCCTAGCAGAGATGGGGCTCGGTAGTTCCGTTTCCCAGGATGGGCATTTGTTCTTCTTGGAGTCTCCTTCACTTGTCTCCTAAACGCAGCCGCCAGGAGCCCTTGATGTTTTTATGCTAACTTCAGTATCCATGGGTTTGCTGGTTCTCTCCCTCCCACCCCAGATCCCGAAGATGGTGCAAGAAAGCTGTCGGGCCATGCACGGAGAAGGTGAGTTGCTGATGTGGTGGTGGTCGCTGTTTGTTCCAAACGCAACTTTTCCTCTCCCTCTTTTCTCAGCAGTGCTTCCCACCGGTTGTAGGTTTTCTTTTATCTGTATCGGGCTGTCAGTCTCCCTGCCTTTGATGGCCACAGCTCTCCAAGGCCTCTGGCAGAAGAACTCCTTTCCCAGCATCTGCTTCTAGAGATCCTCTGGTTGGAGTTGCTGGGGTTTGAACCTGGGATCTTTTGCATAGCAAAGCATGGTTAGAGTGCCAGACTAGAACCTGGGAAGACCTAGGTTCAAATCCCCACTCTGCCACGGAAGCTCGTTGTATGGCCTGTCACATACTCTCAGCTTAACCTACCTTGCAGGGGAGTTGTGAGGGTAAAACGATGTGTGCTGTTAACTGCGACATGGCCTCTCACAATGGAAGTGTACCTGAAGATACTAAAAGAAACTAAATGAAGCGTAGGCAGTCTGTAATTACTCGTCGATTTAAGAACAGTTTGGTAGGCATGTGGGTTTGAGTTCTGGTGTTTCCCCCCATAGAGGGAGAAGAGGCAGCAGCATCTGAAAGAATTTTTGGGAAGATCTCTGTTAGCATGGCTGGGAAAAAAGATCTTGAACTGCTGTCAGAGGAGCCTGTATTTAGTTAGGTGGATTTTGATCTTACCGGGTAAGAGGCAAAGTTAAGGAAAATTAATCTTTTGTTGTTCTTGCCTAACAACAGACGTCATAAAAGTAACCAAATAAAAGTGAAAAACGTCATTATTATAAAACGTAACAGAACCAGCATTTTTTAGGACAAACGCGTAACTTTTGGTCTATTTATGATATTTACAGTCCGCCTTTCTCTCTTTTGGACTCGAGGGGAGTTGCGCAGAGTGAGTCAATACAGTCAGCAGGATGGGACAGCCAGTAAACAGTGAAATAGGATTTGGGCTGTAGAACCAACCAGCACACCAAATCAGAGTTAGAAATGGCACTCGGTACATAATTATCAACCAGTCGCCAAGGCCCAAGAGTTGGTTGATAGCTTCCGGCACAAGTTCAATACGCTGACTATTTGCCTCGCTTAAGTAGCTCTCTCCTTTTTCCTGGGCTTTATAGCCTCTGGTATTGACCGTGTTTCAGAACTACCTTCTTGAGTGCATTGATAGCTATTTTCCAAAAACTCAAACAACGTGTCTTCCCCCCTCCCCGCCTTGTCTCCAATTGTGATAACGTGCCAGGACAAAATTGGTTTTTTAAAAAACCAGGCAGGTGTCCACCAGTCTTGGCCCTGCTGAGAAATCAGGCAGTGGCTTTGATGCAGTAAGATGAGTGTGAAGCTTGTCAACCTGCTTTATTTCTTTTTCCCCAAAACAATTTATTAGGATATATTGTCAGTTCAAATACACAACTTAATATTAATAATTATACATCCTTTTCTCCAATATCCCTCCCCCTCTGGCTTCCCACAGTGCTCCAACCTCCAGCCCAATTCTTAAGTTTTCACTATTTTCCCCTTATTTTTTAATCGTATACTACCGGTAACTCTTCTTCTTAAATTGTTTTCTTACATTTAACTTTCTTCTATTAACCTTAACATTTCAGTAATTATCAAAGCAAATTAAATTGTCCTTTACATCCCAGTGTTTTTCTAAATAATCCTTAAAGTCTTCCCAATCTGCATAGAATTCTTCTGCTTCACGATTCTGAAGCTTCCTTGTCATTTTGTCCATTTCAACCATGAATAATAATTTCTTTATCCAATCCCCAATTTCTGGGGTTTTGTCTTTCAACCTGCTTTACTTTGATGGTCTCTGACCCGCTCGCTTGGTACCATTTCTGATTTTTTTCCCCCCAGAGCTGCAAAACGTCGAATCAAAGCTGCCAGGCCACCCACTGGCAAGACTGCCAAGGTGCTCCAGGAATCTCCAGGTAAGGAGGTGGCCAGCTAGACTGGGGCAGGCGTTGGCCTCATTTCTCTTAGTCCCTCCAAAGGGGCTAAGATCTCGTGGCAGGACTTCACTGGTGGCTGCAGCTGGCACAGCAGAACAGCTTCCAGATGATGGCTGAATGTTTCTTTCCCCAAAAGGGGTGCTTCGTTGCAGATGTTATCGGTTAAGGTGTTGAGCTTGCAGAAAAGTGTGTGCAGAAAAAGTGTGAAAAGATCCTGGTGGTGGAAATCACTGTCAGGTCACAGCTGGTGACCCCATAGGGTTTTCGAGGCAAGCAGGGGTCATTTCATAGAAAAAGAGGTGCAGGAGCTCATTAGCATGACTTATTTGCATATGCCACACATACCCCTGACATCAGCAGAAGTGTGTCAGAAGGCAACACCCACCGCTCAGGCTCTACTGGACTGTTTGGGATTGCTAGCTATGGGCGGGGGGAGCATGCAGATCTGTCCTCACACAGGAGGGAGAGCTTGTACCTGAATAAAACTTGGTCTTAAAGGTGCCACTGGACTGTTTTGAACCGGGGGCCGGTGAGGCTCTACAGCTTACCTGGCTGCTTCTTGCTCTGACTCAGGACTGCTGGGAGCAGGGGGTGGGGCTTGTTGCATTTGCCCGCCCCCTGGGCTCTTTACTGCCGGAGCTTCGCTCCTGTACGCTCCTGCAGGATGCTAGCTATTGGGGGGGGGGGGCAACACACTTTTTTTATGCAGATCTGTCCTCATAGAGGAGGGAGAGCTTGTACCTGAATAAAACTTGGTCTTAAAGGTGCCACTGGACTGTTTTGGACTGGGGGCCGGGGAGGCTCTACACCTTACCTGGCTGCTTCTTGCTCTGACTGAGGGCTGCTGGGAGCAGGGGGCGGGGCTTGTTATATGTGCCCACCCCCTGGGCTCTTTACTGCCGGAGCTTCGCTCCTGTGCGCTCCGGCAGGAAATGACCCCTGGAGGCAAGAGACTAATAGAGTTGGCGTGGCCATTGCCTGCCTCTGCGTAGCGATCTCGGACTTCCTTGGTGGTCTCCCATCCAAGTACTAAATGGGAGCCAGCCCTGCTTAGTGTGATGGACTCCTCGGGACCTGGAGAACTCCCTAAAGGTGCCGTGAGCTCTTTCTTTCTCAGATCCCAAATGCACATCCAATAACCACAGTCTTCCAAAAGAAAGGCAATTTGTTTTACAAAAGAACAAATACCAGTACCTTCAGGAGTTGCAAAACAGAAAACTTAAAAAAGAACCCACCTCCTTAAACAAGTGGGGAAAACTCAAAACTCATCAACCACGTAGAATTTAAAAAAATAGAATAAAAATAAAATGAAATTAAAATGAAATAACAAGGTAGGATTAAAAATAGAATAAAAGGTATATGTAAAGTAGAGACAAAAACATGACAACAGTGATGGCAGGTCCAGATATAAGCTTCTCTAGAAGGTTTCCAAATATCTAAAATGAAGTCCATACACAATTGTTGTCCGTGTGCCATCGGTTCAGATATTGATATAGAGTTCTGAGGTCCTTAGTACATTGATTTACTGGAGGTGGGCTTTTATCTCTGCAATGTTGTAATACGTGTCTTTTAGCTGTAGTCAGGGCATGGTTTAGAGACTGTATTGCAATAATAATAATAATAAGAGATTGGATTTATACCCCGCCCTTCACTATCCAAAGGAGTCTCAGGGTGGCTTACAGTCTCCTTTCCCTTCCCCTCCCCACAACAGACACCCTGTGTGGTAGGTGGGGCTGAGAGAGCTCTTGAGAGAACAGCTCTGGAAGAACTTATGACTGACCCAAGGTCACACCAGCAGCTGCATATGGAGGAGTGGGGAATCAAATTAGAGTCTACACTCCTAACCATTACACCAAACTGGCTCTCAGTGTGTTCATAGGTAAGGATCTGCTTCATCAGGCATAGGTCGATGGGTATTTTATGACTCATCTACTTCTCGTACTCTCTCCCAAGCGTCATTCTCTCCTTAACAGCCTGAATATCTCACACGTCCCGGAGAAAGGGAGGAAAGGATTTTCCCCTGATTCCATGTGCCACAATTGAAGCAAAATATTGGAAACTGGAAAGATCGTTTTAAAAAATGTGCCCCACTCTGTTTTAAAGCCCATAACTATCCAGCCTGCCAGTTGAAAATTGAGTACGTGATGTACTCATGAAAAAATGGCCCCCTGTTGCTCTTTCCGGGATCCAGGTCATGTAAAGAAGGCAGAGTAAACTGTAAAAGGCATTCAGCACTGTGGTTGGAAACGTTGGTCAAGGGCGGTCCGGGGCGTGGCTTCAGAGGGTGGCAGAGGGGCTTGATCTTTTCAGCCTTTCCCGGGAGGAGGAGAGATGAGGGGTGCTGAGGATCAATGGCGATTGTTATGGCAGAAGCCGGAGGTGGGGTGGTGGCAGACCTACAAGAATGTTATACTGGCAGACTACAAAACTTTAGCACAAATTAAGGTAGATGTTACAGGTCTCAGTGCAGGTCCGCAGAAGGGGGGGGGGGAGTCCCCAACCGAGACCTTTTGTCCAAAATAACAGACAAACAAGCTTTCGAGTTGGCCCTGACCAGGATAGCCCAGGCAAACCCGATCTCGTCAGACCTTGGAAGCTAAGCAGGGCCAACCCTGGCAAGTATTTAGAAGGGAGACTTCCAAAGAATACCAGGGCCGGGAGGCAGAGGCAGGCTATCCTCCATGCCCAATTGGGTTCATCATGTCTTCCAGGCATGGGCGCACACACAAAGAATGGGGGGGGGGAAGAATGTTATACTGGCGGACTCCAAAACTTTAGCACAAATTAAGGTAGATGATCCAGGTCTTGGTTCACAGAAAAAGGCAAAAAAAAAAAAGCCCCCCCCCACACACCTTTTGTTCAAAATAACAGACAAGAAAGCTTTTGAGTTCTCTTCCAGAACTCTTTGTCAGGCTAGATGTTACCAAAAAAAAAGGTGTATGTGTGGGTGTGTGGAAATCGATCGTTGCAGGAGGCATTACAAATTTATCTCGCATGTATGATTCCTTCTGTGGAGCTCAGGTGTGGGTGTGTGCGGTTCCAGCTTTCTTGCTGCCTGGATTGAGTAGGGGCCTCCAACACTTGCGTTTTCTGAGGGACAAAAGAATCTTCCAGAAGCTGGCTCTAAATCGCTCCCTCTTTCCAGCCCCAGGCGCTGGAAAGCTGCTGCAAGAAGAAGAAGGAGAAGGAGGAGAAAGAAGAAGAAGAAGGGAAGGAGAAGGAGGAGGAGACTGGATTTATACCCCGCCCTTCACTACCCAAAGGAGTCTCAGAGCAGTTTACAATCTCCTTTGGCTTCCCCTTCCCACAACAGGTGCCCTGGGAGCAGTGTTCCCTCTAAACTGAGTTAGTGTGAGCCAGCTCACAGTTTTTTAGCCCCCGGCTCATACATTGTTTGTCTTCACTCAGGAAGGGATGGCTCCAGAGCAAGCTCATTGATGCAGCAGCCAAATCGCCTTGCTCACAACTTTAATGCCAGGAGCTCACCAAGTAGAATTATTGCTCACAAGACTCCACAGCTTAGAGGGAGCATTGCCTGTGAGGCACGTGGGGCTGAGAAAGCTCTGAGAGAACTGCCCGTGAGAGAACAGCTCTGAAAGGACTTGTAACTGACCCAAAGTCACACCAGCAGCTGCATGTGGAGGAGTGGGGAATCAAAACCAGTTCTCCCAGATTAGAGTCCACTTTCCTAACCACTACACCAAACTGGCTCTCTCCTGGGTACATTGTTTGGATCCAACTTGTCTGTTTGGCCAGTGGCCTTCACCCCTTCATGTGCTGGGACCACTACAGTCTACAATCTAGGACCCGCTGAGCTATAAGCGCATGGCAGCATGGTCGCATGATAGGAAGCAAGTTTGGTGTAGTGGTTAAGTGCACGGACTCTAATCAGGGAGAACCAGGTTTGATTCCCCCACTCCTCCACTTGCACCTGGCTGGATGACCTTGGGCAAGCCATAGTTCTGGCACAGCTGTCCTTGAAAAAGAGCCGTTTGTGTCAGAGTTCTCTCAGCCCCACCCACCTCACAGGGTGTCTGTTGTGGGGAGGGGAAGGGAAAGGAGATTGTAAGCTGCTCTGAGACGTCAAGTGAAGGGAAGGGTATAAATCCAATCTCTCCTCTCTTCTTAAGAGCTCAGCAATGTCGAGACTGGGCAGCGGACCAGAAGAGCTGAGCACAGGAAACCCAAGCTGAGCTCTGTAAGGTACACCTCTGTGGAGAGCAGGCTGAGGGTCTGAGAAACAGGAATTCGCTCCACCACTGGGGGACGTCACCTACCTGTAGTGCTGTTCCTCTCGGAGCGCATGCGAACAGAGGCTGGAAGCATGCCCTCTTGAGCTCTGTGCATGCGCACTAGCAGCAGGTCCTCTGGAGAAGCAGCCAGACATGGTGGTTGCTCGATCGAGGCCTGCGGCCCGGGTGGGAGGGCCCTGCAGCCCAGGGGTTGAAGGGCACTGTGTTAACCCAGCCGTTCAGAGTGCATTGTGGATTTACAGCAGATCTGAAATGAGATCTTTATTAAGCAAAGCCGTAGCACTGGACCTTCGTATGCTTTGTGGAGAGACTTCTGGAAGATGCCGGAAGTAAAATAAGTTGCAGTTGGTGACACTGGGAGCAGGTTTTAGTCCTTGGATTTCCTTTTGGTGCTTCACTTGAATCAGCGGAGGATGAAGGAATTATGGGAATCTGGCCAGACTCTAGCCAGTTAGTGTAGTGGTTAAGAGCGCGGACTCTTAATCTGGGAGAAATGGGTTTAATTCCCCACTCCTCCACCTGCAGCCTATTGGTGTGACCTTGGGTCAGTCATAAGTTCTCTCTGAGCTTCTTCTCTCAAGGGCAGTTCTCAGAGCTCTCTCAGCCCCACCTACCTCTGTTGTGGGAAGAAGAAAGGATTGTAAGCCACTCTGAGTGAAGGGCAGGGTATAAATCCAATCTCTTCTTCCTCCTCCTTGCCGTAACCAGCTCTCTCTGTTAAAGAGAAGCCGCCTCAGTCTGAGGTGGATTGAGGGCCCCTGGCCCCAACCAACCGACTGCTGCAAAGTACGATGGGGGAGGCATAATTTGAAGGCCGAAAGAAGAAGAAGACATTGGATTTATACCCCGCCCTTCACTTGGAGTCTCAGAGCGGCTTACAAACTCCTTTCCCTTCCCCTCCCCACAACGGACACCCTGTGAGGTGGGTGGGGCTGAGAGAACTCTTGACAGAAACTGCTCTTTTTCAAGGACAGCTGTGCCAGAGCTTGTGACTGACCCAAGGTCACATCAGCAGGTGCAAGTGGAGGAGTGGGGAATCAAACCCGGTTCTCCCAGATTAGAGTCCGCACACTTAACCACTACACCAAACTGGTGTAAAGCAGCAGTGTCGATTCGAGCGCCTTCCGCTTACTGCTTTCGCCCAAGATGCGTGAGGGGGCTGTGTCAGAACGGGGAGTGGAAGCGATTAAGAGTTCATCTTGATGCTTCTCGGCAATGGCCAGGCAATCTGTGTTCCCAGACTGGTCTTTGCCCTGAATGCCCGTTTTGGCTCATATGCTGGGAAGGGCACCATGGGTAGAACAGTGGAGCTGCAAGGGACTCTGTGAGCACAGACAGCGAGGGGCTCTTACAGGAGTCTCTTAGGACACTGCTCTGTGGAACAGATCTGTCATTGTTGCTATGCTCATCCCATGGGAACGGTGCACCTTAATTGGGCCCAGGAAGGTACATGAGATATTAGAAAGAGCAACATCCGTTCTTTTCAGGAGTGTGCCGGGTGGAATGGATGTTCTATATGTGGGAAGTTGGTTTTATCGTGACCCATTCCACGATTGCTTATAGTATTTTTTAATTATTTATTCTGCTCTATGTAATAAATAGATAATTAGTTTGTAGCAGTTTATCACTGACCACTGGAGGAGGCTTTAGAGGCCAAAACATGTAAGGTTGGTTGGTTACAGAGTTTATCCTGACTATCTGAAAGTGACTCATCAGATATCGGTGGCTCAAGTGGTTAAGACACTGAACTGCAGGCTGTGGAAGGTTGGTAGTTCAGCAGTTCGAGACCCGGGTTGCCGCATGACGGAGTGAGCTCCCGTCTCTAGTTCCAGCTCCTGCCAACCTAGCCGTTCAAAAGCAAGAAACTGCAAGTAGATAAATAGGGACCACTTCGGTGGGAAGGGAACAGCGTTCCGTGCACCTTGGTGTCGAGTCATGCCGGCCACATGACCACGGAAACGTTTTCGGACAGCGCTGGCTCTTCGGCTTTGAAACGGAGATGAGCACCGCAACCCTAGAGTCAGACTCGACTGGCTTTCGAGCAAGGGAAACCTTTACCTTTACCTTTTACCATCGGATATCCATATGTTGGGCATTATCCTGTTTAATAATCTTTCCACATAAAATGAAGATGCTGTGTCGAGGGGCTATGCATCTATAGCTGTTGCTCTGATCTTTTGATTGTATTGCTCCATATGCCATTAAAATTGGTGTCGTATTTTTTTGTGTTCCGTGTTAATCTTAGTTCATTTTTGGTTTGGTTTTTCTCACCTTCTTTGGATTACCAAATTCATTTCAAGGCTGCGTTTCCACCGCCACCAATGTTCCCTCTAAGCTGTGGAGTCTTGTGAGCCAAAATCCTACTTGGTGAGCTACTGGCATTAAAGTTGTGAGCGAGCGATTTGGCTGCTGTATCAATTCGTTTGCTCTGGAGCCCTCCTTCCTGAGCTAAGACAAAAAATGTGTCAGCTGGAGGCTAAAAAACCTGTGAGCTAGCTCACACCAGCTCAGCTTAGAGGGAACACTGACCACCACCCCTCTCAATTTTTTTCTTCTTGGTAATCCATGGCTTCATCATTCCTTTGAGATATAAACCTGATTGCTGCATATAGATCTGGGGAAATGAAAACAACCTAGATCATAGTTAGTGCCATGCATTATTTCTCCATGCACATGCGTGGTTTTTTTGGCGTGCGGATCTGTGCTGTATGCAGCTTCTAGTACTGAAAGTAAGAGTTTCGTTTCCTTTCTGCAGCTCCTGCCCATTGAGCGAGCTGCCCAGAAGCAGAAGAGGTGAGTATTCCCGGAGGCTGCCTGTGCCAGTCCGGGTCGCCTTTATCCCGATAAGAGAATTATGGCGTTTCCCTCTTGTCCCCTCTTCTCCTTCGATATCCTTGGCGGCAGGGACTCCTGCTTAAGGGCTTCTCTTCTTTGGATGCAGGCAGGATCTCAGTGAGGAAGACAGCGAGGAGGAGGAAGAGGACGAGGAGGAGGAGGAGGAGAAAGAAGCACCCAAGCAGGAGGAGACCCAGGAAACAGACTTGCAGCTCAACGTGGAGGCAGACGAGCACTTTGTGCTGCCCAGCGGACAGGAGATAGAGAAAGAAGATATCCTTCCTTTCAGGGGTCTGCTAAGATGGTGGGAGGGGGAGGGGGGTGCTTCTGTGTGTTGACAAAGGGTGCGTTTTGGGACTACACTGCCCCTCCCCAACCCCGTGTTTCCTCGGATAGTGTTCCGTTTTCTCCCTCTTGCGCCCCCTGGTGGCAGGCTGGAGTGTTGGCGCAGCGTGATGCATCCTGGCAAGTCTCTGGTTCCGAGACAGGTTCAGCCACAAATTCAGGAGGTGATTTCTGTCTCTTGACTCAAAACTCCCCTGCAGCAGAGCTGAATTGGAGTCTGGTACCATCCTGGAGACCCAATGAGACTTTTGGGGTATAAGCTTTCGAGAGTCGACGCTTATAACCTCCCAAACCCTGTTGGTCTCGAAGGTACTGCTGGACTGGAACCCAGCTCTTCTGCTTGCAGACCAACACGGCTCCCCTCCTGAAACTATCCCACGCAGTCATATCGAGATCATTGAAACGGCTCGTCTTACCGAGTGGTTTTAAGAATTACTGAGGTAATGGATGTGGGGAGGGGGCTTTTGCACTGTCCACCTCTGTTCAAAAGCATGGGTATGAACAGTTTTTTTTTTTTTTATTATTATTATTATTATTATTATTATTATTATTATTATTATTATTATTATTATTATTATTTCATTTATTAATTGCCCTATCCCAGTTTACGCCGAGCTCTGGGTGATGATTTGGGCTGAATGAGTGTGTTGGGTTGGATCCAGACAGCTTTTCTACAGCTTGTCCCCTTCGATCATCCCCAAACAGCTATGCAAGCGATTAGGGGACCTGCATGGACAAAAGCCGTTTAGGGGCCCGGGCTGTAGTAAGGAAGGGAATTGGGAAAGGGTGAGTGGAGCAAGCCGGCTGGATCCAACCCGTTGCTTGGTGGGGGTTAGAACGTGATTGCATGGTATGGGTCATGTGTGTTTGCTCTGCTGCATGGGATTTGGCACGGAGACCCTTGTGATGTGTGACTGCGCATCGCGTGTTGGGGACAGGTGATCGTTGGTATTTGGAGGGTCTTTGCTTTGCATACGGGAGAGGGGGCCGGGAATCTCAGTCTCCAGGGAATCCCTGGGGAGCAGAGGCCTTTCTCAGCCAGAGAACATCCTCCTGGTTCAGGAAGGTCTTCCGCCTTTCCAGGACTGGGGCCTGCTAAGCCGCAAAAGGGGACGAGGGGCAGGAAGTCACGTGACATCAGAGTCACGTGGCAGGAAGTGGGGGGAGCCAGAGTTATGACTTTGCTCGGCTTGAGTCTCGGTCTCCGGGCAGCGGACCAAGAGAGGTCGGGACTGGGAACGGAGACTGAGCACTTGGAGGCGGAATGTGAAGAACAAGCCACGGGGCAGAGGTATGTGTGTGGTGTTAAGGCCCCTGGGGGAAGTCATAGAATCACAGCGTTGGCAGCGGCCACACAGGCCATCTAGTCCAGCCCCCTGCTCAGTGCAGGATCAGCCTCGAGCATCCCTGACAAGTGTTCGTCCAGCCGCTGCTTGAAGACTGGCGGTGAAGGGGAGCTCACCACCTTCCCAGGCGGCTGATTCCACTGTCGCACAACTCTGACTGTCAAAAGTTTCCCCTGATATCCAGCTGGTACCTTCCCGCCCTTAATTTAAGTCCCGATTGGCTAGTGGCCGGGGGAAGCTGCCCCAAACGCAGGGCAGCCCCGCATGGAGTGGGCTGGAGCCACCGCCACTGTGAGTCGGCCGTCCTGGGTGGCAGCCGCTAATGCCAGAAGCCCGTGGCCCCTGCGCTGCACAGTGCCAGTCCGGCGTGAGATGGGCAGAAGCCCTAGTGAGCCTGCTCCTTCCCTCTCTCCTGCACAGAGTGGCTTTTCCCTCCCTCCTCTATCCAGGGCACAAAGCCGGGTTGTTTCCGCCTCCCAGCTAACCACAGGAATCTTCTTCTCTGTTGAACACCTCTATCCTACGGCTGCTCTCGGCAAACCTGCAGAGATAGGCAGGAGGGATGCATGCGTACTAGCGTCAGGTCCCCAGCAAAGACCCACAGCTCGGGGGGGGGGGGGACGGGGACGGGCCTGTAACCCAGGAGGGAGGGCTCCTATGACCCACTGGAAGGCCCCGACCCGTGGGCTGACGACATCTGGACTCCTGCCGCTCTTGTGTGTGGTGTGGCTCCTTAACTGCCTCCCCCACCTGCTCAGCCCCCAGACCTCCAGCTCGTCCACCAGCGCATCAAGGACAACATCGAGGTGCTCCAGAACTTCGGCACGAAGCGGGAGGAAGGCCGCTCCCGGCAAGAGTACGTGACTCTCCTGCGGCAGGACCTGGCGACGTACTACTCTTACAGCGACTTCCTGATAGGGAAGATGATGGAGCTCTTCCCGCTGTCGGAGGTAGGCTGTTGGGAGGAGTCGAACCGTTCCTTAGTGGGTTTGTCTGCCTTTCCCTTGGTGTTCGTTGGCCAGGCAGATCTGAGCAAACGGCGTTAAGGTAACCAAATCCAGGACTGGATCTATGGGCTGTTGGGGATTGCCAGGTGCCAAAAGCCAGTGTGGGGTAGTGGTTAAGAGCAGAGGAGTCTAATCTGGAGAACTGGGGTTGATTCCCTGCTCTTCCTCCACAGGAAGCCTGCTGGGTGACCTTGGGTCAGTCACAAGTTCTCTCAGAGCTCTCTCACTCAGCCCCACCTACCTCACAAGGGGCCTGTTGTGGGGAGAGGAAGGGAAGGCAATTGTGAGCTGCTCTGAGATTCCTTCAGGTAGAGAAGAGCAGGGTATATAAAAACCAACTCTTCTTCTTCAAGTGGTCATGTATGGAATTTTTTTAATTCATAGTTTCAATTTATAGACTGCCCTACCCCTGAATACACACGGCTCAGGGCGGTGAACAACACAACGATAGAAACATTTGTAAATAATAAAACAATATGAATATTCCATAGATAAAAACATTCCCAGATGGCGTTTTCCCAGATTTGAGGCTCCAAGGTTTTATCACTGCCCCACAAGAAGGTGGAGAGGGGCAGGAAGAAAAAAGGGTGGAGGAGGAGGTGAAAGCACCACAACTGTTTGCTTGTTTATTTGTTTATTTACTTTAATTTGTACCCCACCCTTCCCTCCAGAGGAGCTGCGGTGGCTCAAATGGTTAAGACGCTGAACTGCAGGCTGTGGAAGGTCGGTAGTTCAGCAGTTCAAGACCCGGGTTGCCACATGACGGAGTGAGCTCCCGTCTCTGGCCCCAGCTCCTGCCAACCTAGCAGTTCGAAAGCAAGACATTGCAAGTAGATAAATAGGTACCACTTCGGTGGGAAGGGAACAGCGTTCCGTGCGCCTTGGTGTTTAGTCATGCCGGCCACATGACCACGGAAATGTCTTCGGACAGCGCTGGCTCTTCGGCTTTGAAACGGAGATGAGCACCGCAACCCTAGAGTCGGACTTGGCTGGCTTTCGAGCAAGGGAACCTTTACCTTTACTTCCCTCCAGGGCAGGCTCAGGGCGGCTAACACCATAAAACACAATAACAATAAATACATAAATATCTAAAACAATTCATTATAACTAACTTACATCGTATTAAAGTGCTAGCAACTAACAGGTAACATTGAAGATGGCCTCATACACTCTGTAGGTTTATTTGAGACTCCGTGGGCTCACTAGACATTCAGCCAATGGCCTTTCTCAGTTCGGTCGGTGGGCGCAGGCTGTCGGTAGTAGACCAGGTACCAGGCTTCTATTATCAATAAGCTGATGATGTTCAAGATCCTAGGTGTTCATATTAACCATAATAATGGTGGTGGTGGTGGTGGCTCCTAGTTCAAAGCCTGGTGGAAGAGCTCCGTCTTGCAGGCCCTCATTCTCTGGATACTGCCAAAGCTGCACGGAGTACCAGGCTCTGCCTCGGCTAGGCTGTGGTGTCTCCTTTGGGGCTGGAGAAAAAGGACGGCATTGTCCTGCCAAATTATTATTTGGAGCGACCCATAGTCTGGAGCCGACTCCGAGCTCTGACTCTGAGCAGTGTTTGTTTTCCGACTTCTCTGCTTCATAACTTCGCTGCCATCTCTGTGGTTACCGATCCCCAGGGGAAGCCAGCTGGGTTGGTCCACGGCAACAAACGCAGCGGAGAAGTCTCGTAGCGCTGAAAAAGCTCGTCAGCTTTCGCTTCAGGTTGATGGGGGGCAACCTTGTTGAGAGCTTCAAGGAGCGTGGCGTTCCATGTTTCCACTGCAGCCCCAACAGAAGACAAGTTTGGAATCCTAACCCCCGCCCCGCCCCCGAGCGTTCTGGAATCCAGGAGGATTCACGAGCCTCCATGGGCGGACCGTTTTAACCGGACCCCCTCTCATGCGGGGTGTTGTGGCCACATTCATCTTGGCTTTAAGGAGGCAGTGGTCAGACCGTGGGTCAGGCAGGACGAATCTTCAGCTGTGCAACCGAACTTTCGTTCAACGACTCAGTGCAGAAAATTACATCCAGGGCATGACCTCTTTCACGTGTTGGGCCAGTCACAAGTTGTGAGAGACCTGAGGCAGTCAACGAAGCTCTAAGATCCTGGGCCGGTCCCAACGAGGCGCCATTGGCATGAATGTTGATGTCCCCCAGAACGAGCAGTCTAGGAGTCTCCGGCACCACGTCCGACAGTACCTCCGCCAACTCGTGGAGGGGGCCCACTGGGGGAACTTGGTGGCCGGTAGACAAGCAGAACACCCAGTCTTTCCTTGGTCCCTAATGTAAAGAATATGCAGTCAGTGCTAGTGGTTGTTTGCACAGGAAGTCTGTAGAACTCGAAGGATTCACAGAAGATAACGCCCGTGCCTCCTCCCTGGCCAGTTGTGCTGGGCTGGTGGTTTTCTTTGTATTCATGTGTAAATCTAAGCAGAGTTTTGAAAAAATATATATTTATTTTTACTATTTTTGTGAGTATTGTGTGTGTTGTGTGTGTGCTTGCAAGCCTGGGAGTCACGGTGACTTCTGGCGACCCCTAGTGGAGCCTGGATGTTTCAGAGAGGTGGCTTCGATATTACCTGCCTCTGCATCCTGGCCCTGGTACTCCTTGGAGGTCGCCCTTCCAAGTACTTGCCAGGGTCGGCCCTGCTTAGCTTCTGAGATCTGGCAAGATCGGTCTTGCCTGGCTATCCAGGGCTAAATCTAAGCAGACTTGAACTGCCTTGAACTCATGCAATCAGCTAAAAAAGGTTTCCTGAGATTTGAAGTCGGGAATGGGCCACAGCTCATGGGTTGCATAGAGCAGTAAATTATCCCCCAGGTTTTCTGTATTGATACCCACGGCTGGAGTCACAGGCTAGTTGGAATGCTGGAGAGGTTGCTAGGTGGGAAACGGCTCAAATTGGTCGTTATTGTGACCTAGCAAAATACAGGAAAATAGTTGAGTGTAATTATATCTATGAGAGAAGTGGTGGGGGAATTCCAGCATTTCAGAATCCACAGGTTAAAAGCTTGGTAGCCGCAAGAATTCGTAAAGGAGAGGGAAGGAAGAAAAAGGACTCCTGTCGAGGTGATGGTTAGATCTCTGAGTTATATAATCTGTTATGTGTCTCTGTATGGGACTCACAGAAGCTGCGGTGGCTCAAGTGGTTAAGACGCTGAACTGCAGGCTGGAAGGTCGGTAGTTCAGCAGTTTGAGACCCGAGTGCCGCATGACGAAGTGAGCTCCCGTCTCTGGTTCCAGCTCCTGCCAGTCTAGCAGTTCGAAAGCAAGAAATTGCAAGTAGATAAATAGGTACCGCTTCGGTGGGAAGGTAACAGCGTTCCGTGCACCTCAGCGTCTAGTCATGCTGGTCACATGACCATGGAAACGTCTTCGGACAGCGCTGGCTCTTCAGCTTGGAAATGGAGATGAGCACTGCAACCCTAGAGTCGGATGCAACTGGCCTTTGAGCAAGGGAAACCTTTACCTTAGGGTTGCCAGGTCCATATTGGTGGACAGTGCCATCAAGTCACAGCTGACTTATGGCAACCTTGTAGGGTTTTCAAGGCAGGAAACATTTCAGAGGTGGTTTAACCACTGCCTCACTCCGTGTTACAACCCTGGTATTGCTTGGAAGTCTCCCATCCAAATAACCAGCCAGGGACGACCCTGCTTAGCTCCCGAGATCTGATGAGATCAGGCTCGCCTGGGCTATGCGGGGCAGGGCAGTAGAATGTATACTGGGGCTAATGATCGATGTTGATCCTGTGGATACCCCTTATGCAGGCTTCATACACATGTGGTGGAAATGCATCAGGGCACTGAAATATTGGAAGATGGTTGCTATAATGATTTCAAAAGAAGTTATGTTTAATATTGAAATGATTCCAAAATTATTATTTCTGAATTAAGTAAGCTTTATTCCTAAGAAGTATACGTAGTTGTTTTATACACCGTTACGGCTGCTAGACTGGCACTGGCAAAAACATGGAAAATGAACAGAATTCCAACGAGGAGATCTTTCATAGATTAAAATTAAGGAGTACTATGTACTTGTTAGGCTGACAGCATTACAGAAAGAGGAAGATGTACAGGGTTCAGATCTCACGTGGCATGAAGTTGTGTTACACTTGGAACAGATTACGTAACTTTTATTTAATTTTTATATATATATAAATAAATAAATACAGTCCCACCTTCTGCTGAACTCTGCCCCCTAATTTCTTTTCCGCAACTGAGGGAGGTCCTCACCTTTTCATTCCATCCTTCTATCCTCCCTTTCAGCTGGTTGACTTCTTGGAGTCCAATGAGGTTTCCCGGCCGGTGACTCTCCGGACCAACACTCTCAAAACGCGGCGGCGCGACCTGGCACAGGTGAGCAGAACTGCTGTGTGCCTTTTCCTCCTTCCTCCACTCCCTCCTCTGCCCTCTTGTTCCGGTCAAGAGGCCTCACCGTCTTCCTCCTTGATCCTACAGGCTCTGATTAATCGCGGGGTGAATCTCGACCCCTTGGGGAAGTGGTCCAAAACAGGACTCGTCGTCTACGACTCCTCCGTGCCCATAGGTGAGTGAGAGGCAGGCTGGCTGCCTCTTCTTTTCCCTCCTCCTGGCTCCTTTATTTCCTCTCTTTGTCAGCTGATTTCTCAATGTTTGCTCTCTGGTTTCTCTACCAGGTGCTACCCCCGAGTACTTAGCAGGGCACTACATGCTGCAAGGAGCTTCAAGCCTTCTCCCAGTCATGGCTCTCGCCCCTCAGGAGAATGAACGCATCCTGGACATGTGCTGTGCCCCAGGAGGCAAGACCAGCTACATAGGTACCAGGGGTGGGACAGGTTGGGCCGGATTGGGGGGGGGGGATTCTCTGATTGTATGGGGAGTGGCTGGACTAGAAGGGGCAGGTTGGGCTGTGTAAGAGGGGATTCTCTGATTTGTATGGAGAGTGGTTGATTTAGAGTTGGGGTGTGTTGTGTGTGTGTTTGCAAGCCTGGCATGAATCCCCAGACGGCTTCCATCAGGCCCGCAGTGGAACTGGCCATCTCCTGCTTCCAATTCTGCTGCTGCATCATAGCTTGCTTCGCCAGACTCTCTTAATCACTCGGCCATTTCATGTTTTAACCTGGGTCCTAGACTCAGAACTCTGAACATGAGATTTCTGTGGTGAATGGCAATAAATCAAAAGGAGGTTTGCAGCTTACAGAGCTAATGTTTTATGCATGTTTTTATTTTAAGTAAAAAAACAACAACACAACCCTTTGTGTTTGTGTCCTTTATAAAGTTTATATCTCCGCTACCTGGCATTACATGTTATGACACACATGGCCCAGCCTGACAAGGTCTCATTTATGTCAGATCTGGCCCTCGTGACAAATGAGTTCGACACCACTGACTTAGAGGGACAGGTTTGGCAGGGCAAGGGGGATTCTCTGATTTGTTTAGAGAGTGGCTGGATGAGAGGGGGCAGCTTAGTCTGGATGGGGGGATTCTCTGATTTGTATGGGGAGTGGCTGGATGAGAGGGGACAGGTTGGGCTGGGCAAGGGGGGATTCTCTAGTTTTTATGGGGAAAGGACGGGAGAACAGCGAAGGATTTCAAACTGAGAGGGATTGTATCAGGAGGGGTGGCCAGTTTGCCACCTGGCAGCCTTTTGACCTTCCTCCGCCCCTGCTACCTCGACAGCTCAGCTGATGAAGAACACGGGTGTGATCCTGGCCAACGACAGCAACGCGGAGAGATTGCAGAGCGTGGTGGGGAACCTGCACAGGCTTGGGGTCACCAACGTGGTTGTGAGCCGCTGCGACGGGCGCCAGTTCCCCAAGGTATATTGCAGGGAGAGGAGCACTGGGTAGTGCGACAGCCGATCCCACCAACTGTGTGGGGAAGGAAGGGGGCTAGGGTGGCCGTTTCGCAACTGCCGATTATGCGCACCCCTTTTTAAAAAATCTGACGTAGTAGGAGAAAACTTACTTAAGCTGTTTAAAGAGAGAGAGCCAGCTTGGTGTAGTGGTTGATAGCACGGACTCTAATCTGGGAGAACCGGGTTTGATTCCCCACTCCTCCACATACAGCTGCTGGTGTGACCTTGGGTCAGTCACAAGCTCTCTCAGAGCTGTTCTCTCAAGGGCAGTTCTCGAGAGAGCTCTCTCAGCCCCACCTACCTTACAGGTTGTCTATTGTGGGAAGGGGAAGGAGGTCGTAAGCCTCTCTGAGACTCCTTCAGGTAGTGAAGGGCGGGGTATAAATCCAAGCTCCCCCCCCTCCTCTGGTGTCCCTGGGGTGGGGTGGGGGAGGCCGGCAACCCTACGGAGGGGGAGATAGCATGGGAGAAACGTCACTTGCCATTGCCTTCTGCTGATATCCTTGGTCTGTCAAGGTCAGTATTGCGTGCTCTGACTGACAGCACTCTCCGGGGTCTTGGGCACAGGTCCTTTGCATTTCCTATCGTGTGATTCTTTTGAACTGGCGATGCCGGGGATTGAATCTGGGACCTTCTGTGTGCAAAGCAGATACTCTGCCTCTGAGCCGCAGCCTGACTTCCACCTTAGGGTCTTTCTCTTCTGTCGCTAGGTGCTGGGGGGTTTCGACAGAGTCCTGCTTGATGCTCCGTGCAGTGGCACCGGTGTGATCGCCAAGGACCCCACAGTTAAGACCAATAAGGTGAGCCAAGTCACGATCGATCCTCGGGTGTCGGAATTTGCATGCAGAACGAGGGACGGGGCAGAGCTCGGAGCTTCCCGTCTGCTTCCCGTTCTGTTTTTTCATTTGCTAATCCCATTTACAGATTTCACGGTCTGCTGTTTTAAACTGATTAATCAGTTAAATAGCTCAACTTGCATGTTCTCAAAACTGTCATGTAGGTGCCTTTCAGGGAGCATTGCAGGAAGTGAGGAAAAACTTACTCTTGTCAAGAGGAAAGTTAATTTATAGACCACCAGGTTTGATTCCCCACGCCTCCATATGCAGCTGCTGGTGTGACGTTGGGTCAGTCACAAGCAGTGTTCCCTCTAAGCTGAGTTAGTGTGAGCTAGCTCACAGTTTTTTAGCCTCTGGCTCACACATTGTTTGTCTTTGCTCAGGAAGGATGGCTCCAGAGCAAACAAATTGATGCAGCAGCCAAATCACGTGCTCACAACTTTGATGCCAGTAGCTCACCAAGTAGAACTTTTGCTCACAAGACTCCGCAGCTTAGAGGGAACTTTGGTCACAAGTTCTTTCAATGCTGTTCTCTCAAGGGCAGTTGCCCCACCTACCTCACAGGGAGTCTGTAGTGGGGAGGGGAGGGGAAAGGAGATTCTAAACTGCTCTGAGACTCCTTCGGGTAGTGAAGGGTGGGGTATAAATCCAATCTCCTCCTCCTCTTCCTCCTCCTCCCCCCCCCTCCCCCATACATAGGGCTAAGGGTGGTGAACAACATTTCAACAGCACATTCAGCAAACCACATTTCAATAAATATACTTGCAGTCAATTTAAACAGTTAAAACAATAACGAAACCTAAGACGATTTCAGACCAATTGACAGTCTTCCAACTCAGATTCTCCCCCCCCCCCCAAGGTTAGTCAAGTGCTGCCTTTTGAACTTGGCTTGTCCTTTCCTTTTTAGGGGTGGGGGGGTAGTGGCTTCAGTTTGCAGAGGAGTCATGGGGAAGATGGGCCCCATAAAGAGGAGCTCATCCCTTTGTGGCTGAGTTTATTAAGCTTGTGGGGGAGGGTGTGCTACGCTGAAGTCGTGTGGGCATTTCTGGATGTGGGGGGACCTGCCTGATAACGGAGTCAGACCGTTGGCCCACCCTCCCTGCCCAGTATCGTCTCCCCTGGGGTGCCTGAGGCTCTCCAGGGCTGGGGGCAAAGGGTCTTCCTCAGCTCTCTTGGCCAGACCTGACCTGGATAGACCCAGGCTAGCCTGATCTCATCAGATCTCGGAAGCTAAGCAGGGTCGGCCCTGGGTAGTATTTGGAAGGGCGACCTCCAAGGAATACCAGGGGCGTGACACAGAGGCGGACAATGGCAAACCACCTCTGAAACCTCTCTTGCCTTTAAACAAATTATTTATTTATTTATTTGATTCGATTTGCACCCCCCCCGCTCTCCCTACCAAGGCAGGCTCAGGACGGCTTACACAAATGCATAAAAATACAATTAAAATCCATCATAAAATCCATCATACCAAAAACAGGCCGGTTATCCTAAAATCCATAAATCCACTATCCGAAAGTGCTGGTACAAGTCTAGCCCGCCACCTCGTCGTGCGTAACGCTAAAAGAGCTAGAACGTCCGTCTGCCAAGGCAATCTTAGGATCTCCTGCCTGTTCTACACACAATAGTTACAAGAATGGGCACAGTAATAAGACCAATGAAAAAAGAAAAAAGAACTGTGACAATTTAGCGCTTGGTACTATATTCATAAATCATAATATACAATAACAGAAAATAAGTAATATATATAGTGAATGTAGACGGTGGTCTCCGGAATGGTGTGCCGTTTCGACAATGATCTTCTTCTGAACAAGGGTGTGTAAAAAAAACTGTCTTTCAACAATTCATTTCTCTTGGTGA